TTGCCCCTGCTGCTGGCGTTGCAGTAGATGCTGCTCGGCCCGTCACTGGCGAAAAGTCGTCGCGACCCAACTCAACAGCCGAGCCAACGTTGGAAGATGACGACAATTTTGAATACCCGACGAAATGGAAGCTCACTGCCATCACTCTGGCGCTTTGTCTGAGTGTGTTTTGCATGGCACTGGTAAGCTGCATCTTTCAGTAATCCCCGGTTCCACTGCCTTGGTAAGCCGTTGATCGACAGCGGCTACACCTGTCAAACCTAATTATAATCAATACTGACAGCCATACCTTTGTAGGATAACACAATTATCGCAACAGCTATTCCTCGTATCACAGATCAGTTCAAGGCGCTCAACGACGTGGGATGGTATGGGTCGTCATACCTCCTGACAACTTGCGCGACGCAACTGATCTACGGAAAGTTCTATACATACTACTCTATCAAATGGGTGTATCTCATCGCCCTCTTCATCTTCGAACTCGGCTCGCTTATCTGCGGTGTTGCGCCAAACTCAACAGCTCTTATTATCGGTCGCGCAGTCGCTGGTGTAGGAGCAGCTGGTATCTTTTCTGGAGCCATTCTGATCATCTCTGTTACCGTGCCGCTGCGCAGTCGTCCTACTTACATGGGACTCATTGGAGGCATGTATGGTATTGCGTCTGTCGCTGGTCCACTGTAAGTTGTGGAGAAGGATTCGGGATCTAGGATCGACGTGGACTAATAATTGCTTAGTATGGGCGGAGCCTTCACAGACCATTTGACTTGGCGCTGGTGTTGTAAGTGATTACTCATATATGAGGTACGATCAAGCTTTGTGGATCCATCCGCTGACTTCCGGTGTGCAGTCTACATCAACCTTCCCTTCGGTGCCGCTACCGCTGCCTTCATCATCCCCTTTCTCAATGTCAAGCGTCGTGGCAAGAAGGTTGAGGCTACCTGGAAGCAGCAGCTTCAGAAGTTTGATCTTCCCGGTACTGCGTGTTTCTTACCAGCTATCATCTGTTTGTTGCTTGCCCTCCAGTGGGGTGGTAGCAAGTATGCATGGAACAGTGGACGTATCATCGCGCTCCTAGTCCTCTTCGTTCTGCTCATTGCCGGTTTCATCACCATCCAGTGGTGGAAGCAGGAGGATGCTACCGTCCCCCCTCGCGTGTTCCTCAACCGCAACGTCTGGGGTAGTGCATGGTTTGGTGCCATGTTGGGTGCAGCATTCTTCCTCATCGTCTACTATCTTCCAATCTGGTTCCAGGCGATCAAGGGCGCATCGGCTACCAAGTCCGGTATCATGAACTTGCCTGCCATCCTAGGACTCGTCATCATCTCCATGCTTGCTGGTGGGCTCGTTACAGCTCTGGGCTACTACACCCCATTCATGCTTGTCTCGTCCATCTTGATGGCAATCGGTGCTGGTCTCTTGTCCACGCTGGAAGTCGACAGTGGCTCCTCCAAGTGGATTGGATACCAGTTCATCTTCGGTGCTGGAGTCGGTTTCGGTATGCAGCAGACTCTTGTCGCTGTTCAGACAGTGTTGCCGGCCGACGACATCGCTATCGGCACTGCGATTATGATGTTCACGCAAACCCTCGGTGGCGCTCTGTTCATCTCAGTTGGCCAGAACGTCTTCACCAACCAGCTCATCAAGAACCTCGCCAGCATCGTGCCTGATCTTGACGCAAGCATCGTTCTCAGAACCGGTGCGACTGAGCTCAAGCATGCTATCGATCCCGAATATCTGTCTGGTGTGCTTACGGCCTACAACCTGACTCTGACCCAAACGTTCTATGTCTCGGTTGCTTGCGGCACCGTGTCAATTGTCGGCGCGGCGTTCGTGCAGTGGAAGTCGATGAAGGGCAAGCAGATCACCATGGCTGCTGCGTAGCGCGGTCTGGCCTTTGATAGAAACTTTACTTGGACATGACGATTTCTTGGACATGTTGGTCCATGGACTGTATGATACCCTTTTCGGCGGCAAGGTAGCACTAGCATCTGGAAGCGAGCGCGGCGTTCTTGTGTTTTGCATGGCAGTACCGTTGTACTGCCACATATACATTGTAATAGACGGACGATGAAGTGATAGACATGGCAGCTTGCTTTTTGAATGAGCTGGCAGATGTGCTGGCAGAGACATGACGGCTCTTCTCTCATGGAAAATGTAGATCTAATGGTAAACATACGACATGGAAATCACATGATGCACGTGTTGGCTGCCGCTGCATGTCGAGCCGGTGCCACCCGCCGTGACGTCAGGCGGTTCGCTGCGGTATGGCCAGGTTTGGATGTCACATGCAAGTCCCTAGCCCAGTCAAGACGGGTGGGAAGAGGAGACGAGTGGAGACGGCAGCTGACACGGGCTGTTAGATTGGATAGGTTGGATGTGGCTGGGTAAAGTGGTCAGCGTCTGGGCTGATGCTTAGCAAAGCTTGTTTTGGCAGGGTCAAGGCCGTCAAGCCTCTCCCACTGCCGATCAACATCCATCCTGCACTGCGCCCGCCTGCGATTGCGCGTTCGGCGCTTCTTTTTCCAGCCTTGCATATTCTGCTTACACCCTGCCACGCCATGCGCCAGCTGACCTTTGTGTTTTTGCGACACTTGACTTTTGACATCTACAACTGCTGCTAGCTCCCTTGCGCCGAGACGCCATAATACTCCGCACAGCCAGCACGCCGCACAGTTCCCACACCGAGTCACCATCGCGCATTGCGCATCGCAGCCATGGCACAGGTCAAGGACGCGAAGCCTGAAGACGCGCTGAACGGACATGCGCCCGACGTGCCGGAGAAGGCGGGCGCTTTGGACGGCGCGGACAACGAGCCCCCAAAGCCGCAGAAGACGGATACGTTCGGCAGCAAGAAGAAGGGCCCGGAAGGTGGCTTCGACGACACACCCATACCGCGCGCACCTCCCGGCTATACCGTCAAGTTCACGCTACACCGCGCCAACAACCTGCCGCTCGCCGACATCAATACCCTGAGCGCCGATCCCTTCATTGTCGCCCAGCTCTTCACCGGCCTGCCCACACGACACAAAGAAGACCCGCCGTTGACGTTGCGAACACCGACAGTGCGACAGAGCACCGATCCTGTATGGGACTGCGAGTGGGTAGTCGCCAACGTGCCCGCTTCAGGCTTCAACCTCAAATGCCGCATATACGACGAAGACCCTGCAGACCATGACGACCGCCTCGGCAACGTCCACGTTACCGTCCCTGCCGTAAACGAGAACTGGGGAGGCATACAAGACCAGACGTATCCCATCAAGAAGCGCATGGTGAGCAAGCGGGCCTATGCGCTGCGGGCAATGGCTGTTTGCTTCGGCAAGGCCCAACACATGAATGGCACGCTCAACGTCAGTGTACAAGTGCTGGGCAGGACCCAAGACGACAACGGCGGGCGTGCCTATACAATTGGTCCACAGTTCTGGATACGGCACTATTCTCCGCTTCTAGGACGCCTCTTGGGCCAGAAAGAGCCCAATAACGATGGCCAAGTGTCGCGCAGGAGCGGCAAGCAGAAGCCTGAGAAGTACAACTTCCAGTCAAACCAAATGCAAATGCGCGGCCCAGTCCCCGAAGCCATGTACCACCGCTACGTCGAGTTCAAGCCTTTTGTCAAGAGCATGTTCACCGCCAAGGGCGTGCGAGGATTCATCCTCTCAAAAGCACTACATCACCAGCACGCACGCGTGTACAACTTCGATCATGCCACCGAATTCAAAACCTTGCCCGCACCTTGCCAGGAATTCACGCAAAAGTTCCTCGAACTAGTCCACTACGATCAAGGTGGGAGGATCTTCACCTACGTCTTGACCCTCGATGCCCTCTTCAGATTCACAGAAACTGGCAAGGAATTCGGCATCGACATGTTAAGCAAACACACTATGCACAGCGATGTCGCGGCATACGTCGCCTTCTCCGGCGAGTTTTTCATCAGAAGATTAAAGCACAAGGACCGCAAGCCGCCGGATCAAGGGGGGAACAATACATCCCACCCCCCAGGCGACGTCGACGGCGGGCCTCCCAAAGAAGGTCCTCCGAAAGACCCAGCCTACTACGAACTCGTCATCGACAACGACTCAGGCACCTACCGCCCTAACGCCAAACTTCTTCCACAGCTCAAAGAATTCATGTCTCAAAATCTTCCCGGTCTACACATACGTACACTCGACTGCCAAGGCGACGCCGAGAAGATGGAACACATGAAGAACGAACAGCGCGAGCGCAAGAAGAAGGAGGGCGACGCCGTGGTCTACACTCAGATCAGCAGAAGCAGCAGTATGAGTAGTAGTGACGTGGAGGAACTGGACCGTCTTGAGGAACAGGGTGAAATGTCGCCCAGGCATCTAAGACACCAGGTCCAGAGAGAGGCTGAGGCCAGGGTCGATGCATTGAAGTTCCATGCCAAGGAGTATCGCCCAAGCAATAACCATGAGGGTTGGAGGGGTGATGGTCATCCGGCCAAGGCAGATGATGAGGAAGTAAACAGATTGAGACAGGAGCATGGGGATAGACCTGTGGGATCATCGCAGGAGGGCACAGAGTCTGGTGCCAAGAGCTAACCGGCTGCTTAATTACTTGACTGACGTCTTTTTCCTTTCATGCTTCTGTCATCGTCACGCCTTGTACATGGCTCTCCTTCTTATCCTTCTTTCCCAACATTCTACTTTTGGCTTTCGAGCTCTTTAAGTCGGTGGATTGACTGTATGTTTCGTTCGAGTAATCTACTTGCATCTAAGAGAGAAAGAGAGAGAGAGGGAGGAAACACTACATACACGGACACTCTCTCTACCCCGAGATACCCGCCATCCTATTTCTGTTAACTAGAAGAAACTTAATCTCCTCATCATTAACGCATTATGTTTTCATTTGCGTCGATGCTGTTCCTCCAAATTATCAATATGCGCTATGGCGAGAAATTTCCCCTTACATCATCCTCCCGGTACATCACTACTGCTTACTCCAATTCGTAAGTCCAATCAACCAGCCTGCTGCTCGTGTACCTCTCAAACCCACTCCGGCGCTTCAAGCTCTGGCTTACTGACCCCAAACCTAACCGCCTTGGCATAATACTCCAACAGCGCCTCCCCGTCTTGCCTCCCCTTTTCAAACTCTTTCCTCAGCCCCTCCCTTCCCCATCCAGATAACCAGACTTCCTCCCCTCCAACGCCCATTCGTTTTCGCATTCCGCGGCTGTAGTCGAGCGCGTGGCGTACTTCACGGCGATCTGTAGTTTTGGCTTTCAGCGCGATGTAGGCGGTAAGGTTGAGGAGCACGGCTAGGTCGAGGGGGGTTGTAAGCGTTGTTGGGGTTGTGGATGCAGAAGGTGTTGTTGACGTGGATGCAGCATGTGACGATGAGGCGTATTGAGGAAGGTCGTGGCCGGTTTCACTTCGTAGTGCAAGGAAGACGGCGGTTGTCAGGGCGGCGTCGATGTAGGTTAGTGGGAATTTGTTTGTGGCTAGGTGTAACTCGAGGCTACTTTCTAATGCACTAGAAAGTGGGGTCCATACGCGGAGTGTTGATGCTCTCGAGTTGTCATTGCCATTGCTAGAGCGTTTGGTGGTAGGTGGAGAGAGGGTTTTAAGTAACCAAAGATGAGCATTCGCCCATTGTTGCGCTGAATTCCAGTTGTTTTCTTCCGATACATTGCTCAGGCTCGTTTGCAGTAGACCGGGGTACGCGAGGAAGTAATCGCGTATCGCACGATGGGCGTAACTTATTCTGAGGCTCTCAAAACTAGCATGTTGGTCGGATGGCGTGGTGTCAAAGATAGACAGTAGCCCATTGCAGCGCTGTTGAGTCAAGATTCGCATGTCTTCTACTCTCTTACTTATTTCGACCGCTGTCAAAGGCCGTACATCAGCGGCTAATGTGGCTGGTGTTTCGGCTGTATAGGCAAATGAGAATGGAAGGATAGCAGGACATGTGTTTTGGTGCGAGAGAAGGTTGTGCAGTTTGTTGATTACCTCAATGTCTTCTGGGGCGAGTTTGCTGAGTATGTGGGCCAGCAGGTCGTCGAGAATGTACGGAAGGGCGTCCGCGCGGTCTTTCAAGATGAGAAAATCCGAGTCGGGTTCTAGGTTCTCAAGGAGAAACTTGGTTGCGAGTTGTGCCCACAAAAACACCCCTGAACTCTTTTCCGCAAGTATCCTGACAATAGTGCTTTCTTCTTCTCCGTCCATCTTTCCCCTCAATGCCTGCAGCTTGGTTTCCATGTTGAACGTCGTGGCCAGGTAGCTATGTATATCATCTTTGGTATATTCTTCCAGCATCATTCTAGGCTTGTTCTCAAAAGCTGACTGGAAAGCTGGTGAGCTTCGAGCCGAGAGCAAGAATTTGACGTTGTCTCTTCGCGCAGTGCTGAACACAAGGTCCATCAACTCCTTCGGATAATCCTCCGTCTCATCCAGCCCGTCAATCATGAAGAAGAACTTCTTTTTCGCGTCACTGACCAAGCCCTCGAATGCCGCCTTTAGTTCTGGGAAATTAAATTCGTGCAGACCGCCAGCGTAGGATAGGAAAGCATTCCAGCGATCCGAGAATAGGTTTTGCACAATGATCCCATCTTCTTCCAATGGCCCAAAGATCAAGTCTTGTAAGGTTTCGTATATAATGGCTCGCAGTAGACCGACAGAACTCTTCTGTGGTTCTGTTCCAGAGTTCCAGAGAAAGAATCCAGACGTGATGCCTGGTAGTTGTCCTGACCAGGCCTCAAGGTGTGGGAACAGGCGTGGATTACGGAATAAATGCTTCATGAGAGTCGTCTTCCCGGAGCCCGGCTTTCCTAAGGTCAGTGTGAGATGGAGATTAGGGATCAAACGACGGGATCGCAAGAGGTAGAGACGCACCAGTGAGCCAATATATTTCTTCGCCCCTTGTATTGGTAAACCACTCCAGCAATCCGCCAACTTGTCTCGAGGCGTCTCCGAATACCCACTCAAAGCCTCCATCGACTGGTGCAGGGATACTATTCATTCTCTCGTCCATCTCCTCGAACCACAGCCTATCGAAGATTGTCGCGCGGAAGTATGCTTCGTTTTCCGCCTGAATCAATGCATCGACTTGCTTGGAAAATTCTTCGACATCCTTCTTCTTGTTGCTCTTCCAATCGTTGCTGTGGATCATGTCAAGCGTTTGATTCTGCCATTTTTCCCAGTGCTTCGTGTGCACACATTCCTCACCACTAAACAAAGCAAGACCAGTTTCAATTGACTGGTCAAGATACTGGCGCATAGCCAACAGCAGACTCGTTTCAATGTCGCGACGAAGAGCTCGATACCTCTTCTTCACACCTGTAAGGTGGGCCTTCTTCCACACCCCGTTCAACAGTGCTTCGCGAGCAGTAGGCCATCGCGGATCGCCAAACTTTCCTTTCTCTTGTGCAGCGATAACTGCGTCAATGAACGAAGCCGTCAGCTCTTTGACTAAATCGGCATGCTTCAGCAATTGCAATGCAGCCTCGCTAAGTTTCTTGGCTGCTTTTGCGCTTTTTGCAGATTTCTCGTCGTATAGCTCCTTGAGCTCAGAGTGGTCAATTAGGTCGGATAGGCGGTACAGATTGTGTATAATGTCCTGGAGGAAAGCTGCATTCTCCACGAACGGCGTTGTCGAAGGTGAGCTAGGCTGGAATATGGGGTGGTCCTTGCGAAGTGCGTTGATGCTGAAATCTATGGTCTGGATGAGTGCACTCGCAAGACCGACCGCTGGTATAGGACGCAACATTTCGTAAATTTGCTTTTGCGTGGAACATCAAAAGCGCGGTCGCGGTGTTTGAGCCTCGTGCGCCTGTTGATATGCGAAGCGCATGTTCGCTGCGCCCCCTAAGGCGGGATGTGCACAGACCATGTTCCCAGAGGCGTAATTCGGGGCGTGTTTCGAAACTCTAGCGCACGGGCGAGGACGATCTTTTCGATACTATGATCTTCCATCGCGGTCACCAACTTTTCCGCATAGAGGGCCTGAGTATGTCAGTATGTTTGGCTGTGTCATATTCACCGCAATAGTGCATTGCCTGGCACACTCCAATGGCTGCATGCTATGCCACGTTGCTCAAGGAGCGGCCTCAGCCTTGTGCGTGCTACTATTGGTATGTAGAGGTCCCACATTCATAGCCTCCGGGTAAGATAGGCTTGGACGATTGATTGGGATCGGGAAAGAGGCTTGATCGCTGAGCTGGGCGCTTACAGCCTGGTTGAGGTCGGCTGGCTCAGCGTGGATTGAGGTTTGCCTTGTACCTATTGTCCCGCACATTCATCGCCCTCTACAACCAACCACAATCTGCTACGGGAACTTTCTTGGCCTTCTTTTCCTCTCCATCCGCGAGTGAACGCGTCGATATGGTCACACGAATCGAAGTTACCACATTGATCACACAGACCCAAGTGTCTGCCACCGCAGCAAGCGTGCAGGCCCTGCTCTCCGTAGAGCAATCCAGGAAGGTTTTGGAGATGCTCAAGTGGCTGGAGGCACCAGATCCAACGACTAATCACACTCAAGCACGTGTGAAACACGAAACTGGAACCGGAGAATGGCTGCTCAATAGCCGGGGATATTAAGATTGGATTTCTGGCTCATCTCCCTTGCTTTGGCTGCACGGAAAAGCTGGATGTTGCAAAACGATACTTTGCTCCACGATTATCGAAGACATGTTCAGCCGAGTCTCTAGCCAAGATAATGTTGCTTTCGCCTACTTCTACCTCTCTTTCTCCGATGCACAGAAGCAGAATTACGCAGGCGTATTGCTTTCTATGGTCGCTCAATTGAGTCGGAAACGCAGCGTTCATCCACTTCTCAGCGCTGCTTACTCTCAGGCTCCGTCTTAAAAGCCTTCATCTGAAGTTCTTGAGCACATACTCCTAGCTTTGCTTGAAGAATCTAAGACATCCTATCTTGTGGTTGACGCCCTCGATGAATGCTCAGAAGAACAACGAGAGAAGACCCTAGAAGGATTTAGACGTATCACACAATTTTCCTCCCAAAATTAGATTTCTCATGACCAGCCGTAAGGAGGCGGATATTGAAGATCTCTTATTGTCTTGGCCTGTGACTCGGCTCGTGATCGACGAAGAGTGTGTCAACAAGGATATTGATCTCTATGTGAAGAACGCGTGGGCGCGGACAGAAAGCTGGTAAAGCTTCCAAGCGCAACAAAGAAGGAGATCGAAGATGAGTTCCGCAAGAAGTCGGACGGAATGTGGGTGTCCTGTCACAAGTTGATTATTTCAAGATATCCATATTTTGACCCTAACTACAGGTTTCGATGGGCTGCACTCCAACTCGACAACATCCGCAATCTGAAGATTTTGCGACCAAAATATATCTCGCGGGCATTATACGAGATGCCACGGACCTTGGATGAGACATATACACGTATGCTGTCCTTCATCGACAATCTCTACTTTAATGAAGCTCGGGCAGCTCTGGAATGGCTTGCGTTTGGTTTTAGTCCGCTTTCCGTTGCTCAGCTGGCAGACGCATGCAGTATTCAGATTGACAATTTCCAAGAGCCTGCCTTCGAGGCATGCGGATATGAAGCCCTGGTTGGGCTCTTTAGTGTCTTATCTTTGCTCATCATCGTTCAAGACGACCTGTCAGACCACGAGACAGACGACAAGACAGGTGACGTGGTAGATAATGACTACCCCGCCGATTCTACACAAAACCATCTACCAAACAAGTACGACAAGGCGCATTATAGTCAGACAGTTCGCCTTGCTCACTTCTCTGTCAAAGAGTACTTGGTCTCCAATCGCTTACGTCAATCTCGGTTTGAACTGTCAAGATATGCGCTCAGGGAAACAGAAGTGCAACTTTCCCTGGCTCAGAGAGGCTGCGCGTATCTCCTATATTTTACAGAGCAATGGAACGCGAAGATCTGGGTCGATGAAGCAAAGTCTCCACGCAAACCTACTTGGCGCCACGACAATAGTGAGATACGGGAATATAGGCCGAATTCCCTGGAAGATTTTGCACCCATCTATACGCTATTACCATACGTCTGCACACATTGGCCAGGACATCAGGCATTGGTAGAGTTGATTGAAGAACCACTCCCTGTAAGCATGCGTCTTCACCTCAGAATTCTTCAAAATGATCGAGCACGAACCTCGTGGATACGGCTTCATATCCACTACTCTCACTTTGGTGGATGGCAGAATTCAACTGCTTTGTATTGGGCGGCTTTCTTAGATCTACGTCAGTCTGTGTCTCTACTTTGCAACTCGAAGTCAAGTCAAGACATCAACAAAGCAGGCAGGCTTCATTGTACAGCCCTTCAAGCTGCAACGTCTCGTGGAAACGAAAAGGTTGTAGAAATTCTCATCGCGTCCGGTGCTGACGTAAACTGTAAAAGGGGATCTCACGGCACAGCTTTACAAGCTGCTGCGTTTTTAGGACACACAAAAATAGTGGATATGCTCATGGCCAATGGTGCTGATGTAAACTGCGACGCGGGAAGCTTCGGTACAGCTTTACAATCTGCTGCCTGGTGCGGACACGAAGTCGTAGTCGATATGCTCATCGCGAATGGTGCTGATATAAGATACCATGCGAATCGTATTGGCTCTACCGCGCTTACTGGGTCGGCGATGAATGGCCACGGCAATATCGTATCGAAGCTACTTAAGGTGGATGTGGATAACCGCACGCTTAATTTCAGGAGCGGACTTGGTACCGCTCTATACCAAGCCGCACGTAAGGGCCACGAGCAAATTGTGGAAGAACTTTTTCAAGTCGGCGCGGATCATGGAGATGCGATGGAAATAGCAACACAGGAAGGTCACGCGGGGGTTGTGAGAGTTCTCATCAAGTACGGAGCAGTTTACGAGCCAGTGGACGAAGTATGAGTCGTTTGCTGTGCACTTCAGGTATGGCATATACTCAAGTGTTTCTCTACTGTAACATTACTCCCTGCAATGCCTGTTCTATGTTTCTACGATAAGAAAGATCCACACTGAGCAAAATCACAACCCTAGAACTGCACCTGTAGCTTTGGGTTTGTCCGGATCCGCTCACCGTAATACCTGAACAGAATCGGCACCGGAATGAAAGCTACCGATATGAAACCAAGTAGGGAGTTACCCCAGCCCAAACCCAAAGCATCGTACATGTTCAATCCGGCAAGCGGTAAGAATGCACCGAAAATAGAGCGGAGAACAGTGTTTGCGGCGATGGCGGACGCAGCATGGATAGTAAACGCATCGACGAGATAAGTTTGAATAGTCATCATAGCCGTCAGGTTGCCCAGACCGATGAACGACGTGAAGATGATGGGAACAATCCAATGAACCTTGTAATAAGTCGTCCATCCGTACACGAAGACGCCGACAGGTAGTCCAATGGCGCCAGGCATAGTAAGGATGAGAGGGAGGCGATGTTCAGGTTTGACGTTGCCTTTGGCTTGTTGCTTGACGATGATTTTGTCAGAGACAATACCAAGGGCGATCATACCGATGAACATGCCCACGCCGACACCAATGTAAGATAATCCAACAGCGCCGGATGAGAAGCGGTATTGACCCTCGAAGACGAACGTCACGGTTGTGAAGAAGAGGTATAAGATACCGTAGTTCACGGCGACGTAGAGAGACATAAGACCAACGATGGGAGAGAGGAAGAGCATCTTCATCGGACGAACAATAGCACGAATGAAGATTTCTCTTGGCGGCAGATCCTGCGCGAGTTTCGAGCGGAGGTTCATGTTTCCGGTTTCCTTTTGGAGGGCCTTTGTTTTGCGAGCGAGAAGAGTAGGATGGAAGCTTTCGCGGCCAACGAAGAAGAGTAGGACGCCAAAGACTCCACCGAAGATGGCTAGGATCCAGAATACCCAGCGCCAGGATTGATGCTCGACAAGGAAACCTCCGCATACGGGACCAATCACGGGGCCGAGGAGTGGACCTATAGAGGTGGAGATGCGAAGTCAGTGTATGTCTCATGTGTATTTTTGTATGGTCACAACTTACCTACAGCCCAGATGGCCATTGCACCTGCTCTTTGTTGCGGGGGGAACATGTCTGCGATTGTGCCGCCACCGATGGTCAGGGGCGCAGCTCCAGCACAGCCAGCGAAGAAACGAAAGGCAACTAGCATGCCCATTGAATTCGATACTGCGCAGCAAATGTTGAAGACTACGAAGAGGACATTGCATATGTTGTACAAATGCATGCGTCCGTATAGTTCGGACATGGGCGCTATTATCAGAGGCCCAATGGCGAATCCCAAGATGTAAACGGAGACGACAAATGAGGCCATGATATTGGAGGTTTCGTTGAAAGCACGGAGTACTTGTGGTACGCCGGGTGCGAAGAAGGAGGACGCGAGTGGTGTAATGAGAGTGCATGCACCGAGAGCTGCGATGATACCCCATTTCTTTCCAGCCGGCCAATTCTGGGGGTTTGCGGGGTCATCTGGTCCATCCCAGTCGACTATGTTGGGGTCTCGTTCTTGTTCTGGTGGTACGTCGCCGGATAATGTTTGCTCGTCTGTGTGTGTTGAATGTGCGTGGCTATCGACGCCCTTCTCTGGGTCTTGTGAGAATGATTCCTCCGGAATCTTTCTATCTGCGTCATGGCCTTGTTCGTATGCTTCCTTGATAGATCCGTTTGGCAGATCTTGCGCATCCCGCGCCGGGTTTGATAGTGAGGCTGGCGTTGCCATTGTGATGGTTGAATGCGGACTGAGCTGGAAGAGCCATAATTAGTATATAGGTAGACAGTAAGAGCAGCTTCGCCACTGCCTTTTCGTTTACATGAGCGAAGCAAGCTCGTTGGCTGGTCGTCCTTGAAGTCCAGAAAGAGAAGCAAGTCTTACCGAGCGGACGGTATCGAAACTGAGACAGTTGCACGGAAACAACCGCAAGGCCGGAATACACTTCGAACGATGTGGAGATCGGCAGTTCGCACCAGGAGCACAGAGCGTGTTTTGGTAAACACGGAAAATAGCTTGAAAGGAGGGAAAGAAGTGGTGCCTGGTGTGAAGAGATCAACAACAAAGACAGGCGTACGTCGTCGCAATCACGGAGATCAAAACCTACGACCCTCCGCACACAAAAGGGCTACATGCCTAGACTTAGCAAACAAGGGCTCCGAAGCGGCATGACGGTGCTACCACCGTATGCAGCGTATTTACCCTATCTCCACACCTTACTAGGCGTTATGTCCGCCTGTAGGCTAAACTGTTCAGGGTCACGGGCAACGGATCTACGGCATTGTAGGATTCTGCACCAATGAGACGGCAGTCTTCGTGCAGCGTAGGGAGGCTTCGTGAAAGCTTGTTGGCTGACATGACAAGCTTGACAACGCCCGCCATCAAATGGCGCCGTGTCCGAGGTTCTTGGCAGCAAGTTCGCACGGAGGGTCGGACGGTCATCTATCTTAAGTTCGACAAGGCGTGAAGCCATGTTGCTTTCTCGGTAGAAACTGCGGGTTTCATTGTCGAGATGCATTCCATTGACCTGGTTTCGGGCGCATCGTACTGTGCCAGTCGCGTGTTGTGGTGCTTCCATTTTCGTCCGTCGTTTGCGCCATGGACCTGGTATGAAGTGGCGTCCGACAGCTAGCTCGCAGCAACATCGCTGTTGACTCGTCAATACTTATTCAGTACAAGTAGACAAAAACTCTTGGTTTGGTACCCAGCGTTAGAAGTCGAGGTATGCTCCGGTGAACTTGGTGAGCAGTATGCCGCGTTAGGAAGGCGACACAACACACGTCTGACATCGATATTGTCGTTGAACGCCCTGCAGCTCGATCGTTCGCCATAAAGGGCGTGTCTTGCATGTTCTAGTAGCAATAATACGTGAGGATGGATGCGATGTCCAGCGAATGGTCCACTAATCCCCGCAAAGAGGGTCGTCCCACTAATGTCCGCAGTCTGTAATCTGCCGACTTCTGTACCCACTATAGAGATCAGCGGCATGAGAATTATCGGTAAAGGCTGTTTTGGCTCGCGCTGATAGGTTCCTAGCAGATAAGAGCAATGTCCTCGTGAGCAGGCTGGCATGTCGTGGCGGACACGCTTTGCAAGGCAAATCTTCTGGTGCTGACGCTGACACTATACTACGCGTAGTAGCCTTACACAGTCAACTCGGACCGAATAGCAATCATAAGATGGGGATAAGAATGTCTGTCATTTCATCGTAGGCAATCGCTACAGTAGAACCCTAGTTCGTTGCCCATGGCATTTCATTCGTTCATCCATCCAAGCCAACCACATCAATCGTGTGTATGTATATGCGCCCAACGCCATGCTTTGCCATGTATATTACAGAAAGAAGAGATTCGTTCGCTTCATCCAATCCATCAGGGTATCTTTACGCAATGTTGCCGGCGAGACCAAGGAAGAGGGCTTGGGCTGCGAGTTGCAGTGTCCAAATGCCCACCTTTTTTATGCGTCGCTTGCGTGTGGTTCGGTCTTCGAGGACGTCGCGGGCAAAGGCATCGTACATCTAAGATGTGTTAGCATATAATTCTGTAAAGACTGTCAGAGGATGTGGAACTTACTTCCTTCGACACTTCCTCCATCAACCCGCTGTCGTAGAGGGTCCAGCTCCCATCGAACTCACTAACTCTCTTCACAACCCTGCAGTTTACTGGGATGAAGGTGCGACTCGAGTTCATGTAAGCTACGATAGGTCGTACGAGCGCGTTGTTCACATAAGAAATATCTCGGGTGAAGATGGGGACTGCGGCGCGCACGTCGTTGAGATGAACGCGCATGTCCATGATCATGTAGCGCTTGTCTTCTTCTGTCCCCTCGTCAAGGTTTGACTTGTCTTCATGGTGCTCATCGAACCCGTGTACGGCATGGTCGGAGAAATGATGTTTGCGTTGTTGAATGACGGTCGCCTCAACGCGGTCATACATGTCGGACATGACCTTTGCAATGCTATCGTCGTCGTCGCTAGGGAACATGACATCTGCTACAATATCGACATTGCCTTCGTGGATCCATGAGAAGGGGCCTTCGAAGCCTCTGTTAAGATGGTCAATGTTGAGGCCATCGATGCGAATCCGGCTGTGCTTCTTCCAGGCTTTACCATCTTCGCTGTCGCGGCCGCTGCTCAATTGCGTGCCAGTGCGGTTGTGTGTTTGTCGAGGATGTATCGTAAAGAGCGAGTTGTCGAAGGATCCGGACATCATGTTGGCGGAGAGGAAGTCGTAGAACAACCATTGCTTTCGCAGCTGGGGGAGGTCGCAGGAGAAGATGCTCACAGAGAACGGGCGGAAGTCGTTGGGCTGGTAGATGGTTACAAGGAGGTCTTCCATCTTGAAAGATTCCAGTTCGAAATCGCCTGGGTTGTGCTCGTGCTTGTATGACCTAGGATCCACGCCTTCAATTGTCTTCACGAATGTCCGATCTACCACGCCTCTGATACCCTTGATTTCGACATCCTTCAACAAGCCCTTCCCATTGAACCACTTAGAAAAGGACAGTGTGACGTTGACGGTATCGATGGATATATCAAACTGGGTGTAATTGGTGTCTTCTTCGGGTTCCACTTTCTCTTCGACACCGTCTTGACCGTCCTTGTCCTGGTGGGTTATGGTAGCAGCGGCAGCAGCCATCTCCGTTTGTGAGCCCTTGCTGACCTTTCCCTTGCCCTGACCTGGACGTCGCGAGACAAAAACGTTGCGGAAGGAGATGACGCCATCTCCCCACTTGGGTACAACAGCAGTCTCAAAGACAACTTTTATGCCCGAAGACTTGGTCAAGTAGTTTCCGATGAACTTGGCGATGGTCTCCTGGGAGAAGGCGGTATTGACCAGGAAGATGGTCAACATGAAAAACGTTGTAGTTCCCAAGACGATCCACAGAAAGTGCGCCGCGATGATCCACGAGAACAATGCGTATATCTCATCGGCATTGAATGGGCGGGTGCTTCGGATGGTAAGCCACTTGAAGTGGATCTTTATCCGTGACCAGAAACCAGACGCTGCCTCGAGTAGTTCGGCTTTGCTCGGACGGTATATGTGGGGTAGGTGGTGTGGTAGACGATCGAGGAGGGGCTTTGCAGCACTCGCTACTTCAGGCTTCGGGTTCGGGGGCGTCTTTGAGGCTTTGGTGGACGAGTTCGGCTGGGGAGATAGCTGGGCCTGGGGTGCTTGACCTGTGGGGCCTTGCTTGTCCTTGGTTGAGCCATTGGTCGCCGAACTTTTGTTGCGTCGGTCGCTGCCTCTGCTCTTCCTCAACGCCCTGGATGCCTTGGACGATGCATTTCTGCTCCATGCCGAGAGCACAGTACTAGTCACACTCTGCTGAAGGTGACCAGTGCGGGGTGATGACGCTCGGAGCAGGCAGGTGGGAGCCTGTCCAGGATACTGTGAGCGCGCAATCGAGGGCAGACTCGTCGTCGTCGACAGGCCCAAGAGGCGGCAGTTGGAAGCAATGGCCCGTTTCTGGATGCCTCGGCTCGATGTCGACTGCGACTGTGCCCATATTCCCCGCGCTTCCTGCGAAAGCACACGGGCGTGTACCAAAGGCTGGCCAGCGACGGCGCGCCACAGGAAGCCGAGCGTTCCTACATTCTTGTTCATGATAACCGCGGCGGGTACATGGTCGACGTTCGCAGGCGAGGGGATGTGCGAAGCTATCTGCGGGGGGAATCGTCCGAGGTTTGCGGTGTAGGAAACGCGGGCGGTTGGCTGGAAATACAGGCAAGATTCACGTCATTACCCATGCACATGCAAAAAGTAGGTAGGAGTGAGTGACAGGCGCCAGCACGGTCCACCACCACCTTTCGCCTCTCCAAATTTCTTGAGAAGCCCCACATTGTCGCGAATCGATAGCCAATTCGACCCTCCTCCTCGCCTCACCTTTTGCTCACGCCTATAGCGAAAAGAGGAGGAAAATAGCTCTACAGAGACCCAGCCGACCTCTATCCGTCCGAAGTCTCCCCGCGCACACACGCATACACACACACCGCTCAGGCTCGACTACCAACGCCCGCGCATTGTTACGACAACCGCATACTGCAGCCAAAATGCCCGCACCTACAGCCCTCCAGCGCAGGCCCGAAGAGTTCGCCGACCATGTCACCATGGAGGCCTCCTCCGTTCCTCTCCCGACTGAAAGTGAGGGCGACCTCATCTCCATGAGCCTTGACCCGGTCGAGGCTGCGCACGACGCCCCAGCACCCACAGAAGACATGCCCATGACAGACGAGAGCGGAAAGCCCAAGTTCCCTGCGGCCAAGTCGATACCGCTCGCTTTCCGCCGCGAGCAGCGCAAGGTCCCGATCCCACCTCACAGGATGACACCACTCAAGAACTCGTGGCCCAAGATCTACCCTCCGCTTGTTGAGCACCTCAAACTGCAAGTCAGGATGAACACAAAGGCAAAGGCTGTTGAGTTGCGCACTTCCAGTGCTACCATCGACACCGGCGCGCTCCAGAAGGGAGAGGACTTTGTCAAGGCATTCACTCTGGGCTTTGACACAGACGATGCCATTGCGGTAAGTGGATATGAAGCCAACACATGCGTCGCGCGAATGTTCAATTCCAGCATCGGAGAAGCCTGAACTGACGACTTTATAGCTGCTTCGATTGGATGACCTCTACATCGAGACCTTTGAGATCAAGGATGTCAAGACCCTACAGGGCGAGCATCTCGGTCGTGCGATTGGTCGAATTGCAGGCAAGGACGGCAAGACCAAGTTCGCAATTGAGAACGCCAGCAGAACACGAGGTACGTTCATCGCATAGTGTTAACAGCCTACTTTGGTCACATCACTGACATTCCCCAGTCGTCCTGGCGGACCAGAAGATCCACATCCTCGGTGGTTTCAAGAACATCCACATCGCACGTGAAGCTATCGTCAGCTTGATCCTGGGTCAACAACCAAGCAAGGTGTACGGCAACCTACGAACAGTCGCTGGACGCATGAAGGAGAGGTTCTAGACGATACAACAAGCGAGGGGTCTTGCATAGTAAGCCACGCAATGGCAACGGCGATATCGGGCATTTACATGGCGTTTGGAGACTGGGCAGGTCGGGAAAAAGCTGTTTATACCATCTGAGATGACTTGATGATTGGAAGGAAGATGGCTGGGACATGTCATAGCTATAGAGGCAATTACGATTGATTCACACCTACCCACATGTCCCTCCATGGATGATCCAGCACGGGTATGAATCGTGAATTCTGAACAAGTTGGAAATTTTCTTCTCGTCAACAAACACGCATGCACCCTGCTTTCCATCGCTCACCCATCAGTCCTCCCCACGAAAACCGCAGAAGCCTCCCTCCCTTCCTCGCCCCAAACCCTCTGACAAGGAATCCACTGCACACCCTCCATCTTCATATCTACTCTCTCTTTGTCAAACCACTCGAACCGTCTTCCAACATACAACGTAGCGCTCGTCCACTCTTGCTTTCCCAGCAACTCCACGTCTCCCTCATTCCTAATCTCCAGGGTAAAGAACCTCGATCGCGTATCCCGCGGCATTGTAGTAGTAAAATGGGGGACCTTGGGATCACGCTCAAAGGAGTTGGAGGGAGCTGTCAGGCCTGTAGCACTCCACTCTATATCCACACCACGTGGTAGAGAGGAGACCTGGGCAATGAAACAGGGCGGTATTGGTACTGATGTCTTGCTAATATCCGCGTCTATGTTTCGGTCCTGAACTTGAAACTTGGAAGTAGAGAGGGCAGAGCGATCGGGGATGGGAGAGCGATAGGTTAAATCCTTGAATGTTGAGGTGCCGTGGTGTTGATTCAGGCGGTCCCAGGGGTCCATGTCTGCGTCTTCGTCCTCTTCATTATCGGAATTATTGAGAGAGGATGAGTGGGGTGGTGTGTGGATCGTTCGCCAGACTTCTTGGGCTACTTGTACGGACTCTTCTGGATATGGTGATGCTGGGATGAAACCTACAACTGCTGCCCACCATTTAACTCGTTTTGTACGGCCGATACGCCAGAGATGTTGTAGGGAGAGGATTGCTTGACCTCTGAAGCCGTTTTCCTTGTAGACCTCCATGGATGCGGGGACTAGGGGAATCTGACCAGCTACGTATACCACTTCTCCACTACTCTGACTATCGCTTTCGTTGAGCTCGTTGTGAGGAGGTAGATGTACAGAGATGGCTTGGCTGTACGGTCCGATGTTTGCTGGTGCCCAGTAGCTTCGCCCTTGTACGTGCAGCCCTTGTCTCCTTACTGGTCTCAATACCTTTCTATCCTGATCTGTTTCGTCCTTGTCCGCAACTACACTCAGCATGGCATGTACGCCCTTGGGCATTGTATCTCCAACTGCTATTGTGGCTCTAGCTGGTGGGTTCACGTGGCTAAAGTATTGCGCGTAGATGGGATTGAGAACTGTAAAGTCTGCCATATCGCGGAGAAGTAGCGTACAATGATTGACGCTGTTCTTGGGAATACGTGATTGCTTCAAGATATGATCGAGACGGAGGAAGATCTTGAAAAGTTGGCGAGAGGGAGAATCGGGTGAAGCAGCGGTGGGAGCATCGCTCGTTAGATTGGAGTATGTGAAGACCGTCGAAGTATCACTGAATACATTCCTGGGAAGCCAATCTACTACTGATGTGCTATCCAGTCGAGAGACAGGCCCAGAAGACTGGATAACAGATCCCGTGTCAACGGGTATGCCTTGACTACTCTCGTTGCTGGCATCTGTGGCTTCTATCAACCTCGCGAACTCCTCGTCCCAGAGCTCTGGTATTCTTAGTGGATCAATAGGTCCGGCGTCGTCTGCGCTCTTCTCCTCAAGTATGCTGCTCTTGATCTTTAGCACTGCTTGGCCGCCGTCCAGCTTCCCGGGTGGTCCATTGTCGATCCTGATCCTCTTCTTCCAGAGCGATCTTGGCCCATCCAGAGCCAATGTCTCAAATTCACCCCCTTCACCTAGTATCGCGCCGTCGCCAGCATCACCATAGCGTCCCATTGCCTTGGCCACTCTAGCTATAGTCTTGTAGTTAGCGACATCGAGACCCAAAAAGTCCTCATCTAGACCACCTGACGCCGTCTTAATGATGATTGCTTTTTGCCCGATAGCCGTCATATCGTGCAGAAGTGACGACTGTGTGTACGGTGGCAACAGAGGATACTGCCATAGATACGACAGTGGGGTGAGTCCCAGCCTGAGCGCTACAGACTCCACACGCGTGCGTTGATATGTGCTCAGGATAGCCCCTGTAGATACAGCGTTGGCCTCAGGGTGTGCTTCCAGAACCCTTCTCAACAGCGGTACCAGGTCTTCAGTTTCATCCTGCTCTTGCTTTTGCAAAGGTGTCGCATAGTCTCTATTAGAGTCTACGGCGGTACCCGTAATCTCTTGTCGATAGAGAGGGATCCCTAGCGCTTCTTCGTAGAGAGGAATGACGGAGTGCCCCACGGTCTGGTACATGTAGCTGTTAATGTCCTCATCATTATTGCTAGAAGGCGCTGGGTGCAAATTGGCCAGTGCTACGACGGTGTGGCCGTTTGCTTGACAGTGGAGAATGGAGAAGAGCGAGTCTTTGCCCCCGGAGATTAAAGCAATCACGTTCAATGACGACGACATGGTAAAACGAATGATTCGAAACGGGCGACCGTCTGGGAAAAACAATGAAGGAGTTGAGGACGGCCCGGTGCCGCTCGTTGCATGAGACAGACGCAGGTGGATTGAGTCTCGCTAAAGGTCTGCGCACGCTAGGTTGATCCGTGGGGTTTTGGAACGAGCGCGATTGTGTTTTCTGGCATCAGGGTCCTGTCCTGCAACTCATCGCAGATCATCGAAAAGCAACCATGTGCACAACGCACGGCTCGCATGAATGGCACAGTAGTCACATGCAGGTAAGGACGTCGGAAGTATGTATGTAATAACGTGTTTTTTTTTGTATGATAGTCGGACAGTGCCAGCACCTCTAACCTACAATAGGCTGCGCAGAAAAGCATTGCTGAGCAGATTGTAAAAGTCTGACGATTACATGTGTTGTGAGAAAGAAGCGAATATTCTCAGAATGTTGGAGGGCGTTCAGATGAAGCTGCCCAATTACAACGAGGGTAGGAAGCGCAAGATAAACAAGGGGGTAACGCGGCGACAGTGGCCGGTGTAGGGTAATGGCCATGTCGTCGTGAGAGTGAAACCAAGAAGAAAAACACCAGATCTATCCGTCCGCCAGTAGTAGCCAGTCTCCCCAAATCCCAGGTGTGCCGTGCTAAACGCGAAACCAAAAATGCCAATCTCGAATGTTTTAACTGCAAGATTGGCTGAGTAGAATACAGTGGTAGAAGGGAAGCGTAGAGTTATCGCTGCAGATTATGCAAGATCGAACCGCTGATGTGAACCTGAGCCGCCTGTCTAGCCGAGTCGTAAGGGTGGACGAGCAGCCATGTGGCATGATGTATAATCCTTCTACCGGGTGTTGTGGATGTCATGAAGGGTCGTTAAGAGTTAAAAGGAGAAGTGTGGTAGATGAGAAGATTTACTCGTTCCTCTTGCGCTTCTTCTGGCTGGGCGACGACTCGTTCTCGGATCCATCAGAGCTTGAGGTGGGTATCTCAGAGGCAGCGTTGTAGAGAATCTCACCCATGGTGGAAGGAGCCTGTGCGCCAAACGCACCAGGTTGACCATGCTGCATGTCTGAGTGATGGAAGTCGGATCCCATGACCTCAAGGCTGACGGCACCAGTACCGTGGGTGCGCTGGTGCTGAGAGAGGTTGTCGCTCCTGGAGAACTTCTTGCCGCAGTCAGTACACTCGAAGGGCTTGTCGTGAGTGTGGAGAGAGCGGTAGTGGCGCTTGAGGTGTTCTTGACGACGGAAGCGACGCGAGCAGAGAGTGCAGACGAAGGTCTTGGAAGGGTCGTCGGTAAGCGACTGCTTGCGACCGCGGCGGCTGGTAGGCGCGACAGGGGTGGCGTGTTCGTCTGAGCTGGAGCCGACAGCGTTCTCGGCTTGACCTGATTCTTGTTGGCTTGATGCTCCAGACATGGTGTTATCATCACCTGATGTCTGTTGCTTACCCTGGTAGTCTGACTCAGTCTCGCTGAACTCTGAACGAGCCTTCTTGACTGTTCGCCTCTTAGCAGCGGCGGACATGTCGAAGTCGCTGGTAGCAGGGGTCATGGGCAGGCCGTGAACAAGCTCCTCCTCAAAGTCTGTGAAGCTCTCGTCGCTCAGGAAGTCCTCCTCAGGAGAGAAAGCGCCAAGGTCAGTGCGTTGGCGCTTGTTACCGAGAAAGTGGGCGTTGTCAGTGGAGAAGTTGACAAGGCCGGTGAAGTCGTCTTCGCAGTCAAGCTCGAACAAGGGCTCGAAGGTGGGGAGGCCAGTGATGTTGAAGGACTGGGTAGACTCGAAGCTGTCAACCTGGGCAGTCTCACCCTTGAGCACAACCTTGTGCTCCTCGTCGCCAGGGCAGAGTGTGACAATGGGAAGCTCAGAAGTAGAGACGGTGAGATCGCGGGGGTTGCAGAAGTTGTTCTCGGCCTCAGCGAATGCAGCGCGGGGGACTGGTGATGGTGATGGGGAAAGCGAGGGGCATGAAGTTGCAGATAGAAGGTAGGAGCCTTGGCTAGCCGACGGAGGCTGGATGTAAACTTGAAGGAGTTAGTCACGCCGTGCGAATATTCAGCAACATCGACTGTGAAGGACACGAGCGGATCGATTAATCAAAAAAAATACATACCTGGAGTCATGGGTGGGGAAGCTGAACGCCATTCGAGACCGGCAGAAAGGAGCTCAGAGAAGACCTCGCCTTCGCAGCCTTGCTTGACGCCCTCGATGCCCTCACCAGAGAACATGTCATGCATCGGTGTAGGAAGAACATCGCATGAGGAAGGAGGGCTGCTGGTGTTGCTACCGCACGATGAAAGGGGAGGTGTGGCGGGCGAGAATGAGTAGTCGGTGTCAATGGGGTGAAGGTATGGCGAGTCTTGAGGTTGGATCAAGATCGTTGGCTTCTGGTACATTGGCTGAGGTGATGCAACGGGAGTGAGCATCTGGTTGGCGTAGGCAGTCTGAGGGTAGGACATCTGAGAGCATGCCGACGTTGGCCTCTGGTAGTACATGTTCTGTGCTTGGAAGGTAGCCTGTCCGGATGGGTGGGGTGTGAAGTGGCCGTGTTGGCGTGCGTTCTCGCCCTGAGGGTCCGGGTTGTAGTAGAAGAATGGTGATTGCATAGCCTGGGCTGGGTGGATGGGATATGAACCGTCCATTGCGTGTGTTGGTGTGTGTCTTTACTTCAGTATAGCAGTTGTCGTCGTTGTTAACGTTGTTGTTGGTTGGTTAGGTCGATGATAGTATGATATCGAGTGATGTCGAGGACAAATTAGTTGTACTTGAAGCAGGATGCTGGACAGTATAAGAGAGAGTCGAAGGAATGACTGTGGGCCAGTTCGTAATAACGAAACTGTCACTAAGATAGATAATGAAGATCAAAGAGTGTGAGGGCACAAAATTATGAGACCCAAGATGAAAACCTGAACGGCGACGGCGGAAAGAAACGAGAGGGACGTGGTTGATGAACCTTGATCAAGGGCAGGCCAGTGAAAAAGAGAACTGATGAGCGCACAGAGAAGGACGGCTCGCTCTAGTGCGCCGGGGCGCAGCGCAGCTCCACAAGCCAGCTAGGTATGGGATCCTGCATTAGACCTTAGCCTTGACTCGCGTCAAAAGCAGCGAATGCATTAATGCATGGGTTTTGGAGCCTAAAATTATTCGCCCAATGCATAGCTGCATGGGACTATACGCGAAATGAGATGTGCGCGGCGGTTCCGGCAGGCTTCCAGGTATTGGCTACGTCGCCAGCACAGCACATGGTGGGATGGAGAGCCTGCCACACTGCCTACGTAGTGGGTTTCTACCGCCCTCTCCGAATGGAGGAGAGACAGTAGCTGAAGGCAACTGAGCCTCGCCACGGTATGGTTGTTGTTCTGAACAGCGAGTGATGGGTAGCCAACTGTGATACTGCCGATGAGTGGGCGAGCATCGGGTGTGTCCTGCGTCTCGTCTGACCTACCACACCTCAGGATGCCCTTTCAGACACCTCTCCAACTCGCCTCGAGATTAGCGCGTCCGGGCATCATTCAGCCTATCATGCTATCTGCCAATCGATAATGATAGCTGCGAGACCCTGCCGGTTGAACTATGTTTTGAAACACCCATACAGCGACCCTCCCGCTCTTCGTGATCGTGATGACGCTGCGCGCTCCACCGAATATGTCACGCACGACAACGCCGTACCGCCCACGGTGCCACCCTCAGTCATCACAGAAGCAACACTACAGAGTCTGGTGTGGTTGTTGATTGAGTGCTTTTGGAAGCGCTGTAGCCGGGCGTTAATGTCGGCCGCACACCACAACAACTCGCGACGCCTTCCTGAGATGCAGAATTGTAGGAGCGGTATGTCTCACGATGTCTTCAACAACTCCACAAACCATGCAGGCCCAAGAGTTGGAGGAGCGCGTCGGAGTGCGTCGCGTGAGGTCGCTGGTAGCGAAAACAGCAAGACTACCATTGCCACACGCATCGCGCAACACTGAAGGAAGACTCGACTTGCCGGGCTTACGCAGGAACGTAAGCCATGATGCAAGAACATGATCCACGTTGGGCGTGATTTGTCCGCCAGCTAGAAGCCCTTGGATCCGCGCACTCCCAGTGGTCCAAAAGACGGCTATTCTTAATGGTGCGACATACTCGTGTGCAGTGAGCTGCAAGTCGCCACCGATACCATTCTTTCTTCAAAGGGTCAGTAGAACTGGTACTGGGTTGGTGGGATGCATGGCCATATAGGTGCACATGCGGCCTTAATCCGTCTTGCAAGTGTGTTTCAGAGGTTGGGCTGCCACTTCGGCCGCCACTCGTGCAGCGACCGACTGTAGTGGTGTACCAGAGGATGCAAGCTCCTTCTAATCTACGTATCGATAATGGGTGCACTTGGATGGTTATGACGCGGATGAAGTGGATGCCTCACCATTTACACTTCCACCGCGGTAAGAGTTGTGCATATTGGTGCCTCGTATAAGATTCAGCACAAATAGAAACGAGCTATCGAATGCTGCGGGTGCAAAGTTATGAAGCCGCCGGCGAGGCCTAAGTGGCTTACTCGTAAAAGCGGCGTGTCTTTCGCGTGACAAGCGTTGATCAACTCGAACAGGCCCGATGGCATCCGCCAGACCGTCATCCCCCACATTGACTGCAGAGCTTATTGATCGAGAATAGCGTCTACTGCAGGTACAATGCAGGAACAAACGGTAAGTAAGACCCAAAACAACATGCAGGCTTATCGTGACCCTAACAAAAGGATTTCGCGGGATTTTCGTGCTGCAATCGCCCTGCATTATCGTGATGCTCGCTGTTGCATGTGAAGACGACGCAATTTCTAGAAGACCACATCAGCGGGGCTCCCTTACGACTCAACAGGGTCTTGATGCGATTCAAGTTGAAGAAGGGCTCTTCCGTGGTATGGGCCGTGTCAGTTAGCGTGTGCGGCGTGGTCATGCCATAGCTTCGGCGCCGGGGAACGACGCATGGCTTCCATAGCATTGTCCCACTTGACTCTCTCTCTCCACTCCGTCAGCCC